GTGGCATTGTTAAGATAGCTTTAAAATCGAAAATAACATTTTTTTATATCTTATTTTTATATCTACTTTATTTTTGTTTCCTTATTGCACATTTTATTTGCTCTGTAAAAAGAGTTAAATCTAAATCGGAATATAAGCTGTCGATTTCACGTAGACTACGTGAATTCATAATTATATCTAAAGTGCAATTTGCTCCGCCAATAAGATAACAGTTTAGTCAATGTTTGTACAATATTAGCATTTCTCGAAAGGTGTGCTTCATGGCTTGTGTGAGAAAATACAAATTTCATATCGTTCATTTGCTACAATATAATACAAAAAGTGGTTGTTTTGGTATTATAGGAAAAGAATAGAGAAACATGAAGAAAAAAAAAAAATTAAAAAAAACATTTTTTTTCTTCTACAATCGGTTATTACACCAAAATTACATTTTAAAATTAACGTCACACAAAAAAAAACAATTTCGCCGAAACATATAAAAATTTAGCTACATACAGATCTGAAAATAATTTTGTCGAATCATCAAAATAATTATGTAGAAATCTCAAGTACAATGAACAATGCTGCAAAAAATTTTGACATTCTAGCAACTATTATAGTTTAAGTTCTGCATAATTATTTTGATGGTCCAATAAAATTATATTTAAAATTCAAACAGGTAAAATGAGAGTAATAAAAACAACGCGATAATTAGCTAACACAAATATAGCAACGCAAAACATATTTAAGGCATCTCATGATTGAAAAATTTTATGAGTTTTGTATTCTTGTGCATTAAATTTTCGTAAAATCTGAAAGAATTTGTAATATATGCAATTATTATTATTATTATTAATCACTTCATTTTGTTACATGAGACAATATCAAATATTTTTTATTCGTTTTCTTTCTCTCTTTCTCTCTCTTAAAACTGCATGCATAATGCATAAATAACACGCGTGAATCGTGTAAAATTTTAGGCTCCTGCTTGCGAAGAAGTTTGAGAATCGCTGCATCTCATTATTCATATTAATATTACAATGTGCGTCTTTCGCTTGCATGCCGTTTGTTACGTCAATATCACGAGCTCCTCAGAAAGCAAATGTAACTAAAATAGTCGGGGGCAAGTCGTCAATTTTCCGAGGGCATAATTGTTATATGAAGCTAGATTAATCGCCGTTCGATCCGGTTAAAACGGCTCGACCGCCTATTTATTGTGCACGCGGCCGGATAATGACCCATATTTTTTCGACAAGACAATTTTTACTGTCGTAATATCTCCGGAAGAACTAGGTGGAAAAATGCGTGACGTATCTGAGTCGCGACCGGTTGTCATGTCACGAAGATGGGTCGCGACGGAGTTATTTTCCATGCTGCACTGATAAGATAACGCGATCCGCTGGGGGTACCAGAATCAGATGATTTCTTGCCACTTGATGACGTCCGACGATATCTCCGTTTATTGACGCACAAAGCGCGTTATTTTGGTTGATACTCGAAAATAATAGGCACGAAATTGATAATATCTCCATTTTATTGATTTTTATATACAATATATGGGCACATATTATAAAATCCATGAAATTCACTGATCGTGAGTGCTATTTCAACAGGAAAACAGGATATGAGAAGAGAGATCGCACTGATGATAAAATACTTGCATTATTTCGCTGCACAAATAAAAATTATACGAACGCAGGAAGGTTGTCATATAAAATTACCATGGCCGCAATTTGAACATTAATTGCGCGAAATACACGCGATGAGCCGTGCATTACATTATTAACTTGATATAGCAGAAAAATGGCGCGGTTTTATTTTGTCTACATAATAGGAATACAACCGAGTTTTGAAACACAATCCTAAACTCAAGCTGGAATAATGATATTGCAAAGTAATCGTTAATTTTAATAATAATGATGCTATTAAGCATCTTGAAATACTGCAAAAAATTTGTTGTAAAAAGTATCACTTCGGCCATGACTTGAATCTGGATCTTGATTCAAAGAATAAAAAATATGCATAAGAAAGATTCCATAACTTTAGTCAAAATTAACCTATTTTATTCATCGTCCAGGACATTGAATGAAATAGTTAATTTTAGCCAAAGCAATGGAACTTCTGTTACGATTTTTTCATATATTTTTTATGTACTGAATCACATTTGCAAACGTTAATTTCAAGCTAAACTGATGAGAAAATATTGAAAATTGCAATCGAAGATCAAATTTCATGCTACGAAATTGTACTACTTTTAATGCGATTTTCATTATATCTCCGTCAGATTAATTTGAAATAAACGTTTGCGATTCAATACAAAAAATATACTTAAAAAAACGTTCATAAGAAAAGTTTTATCATTTTCAGACGAAAATCTGATAATTTTTACCCATCCTTCTTTAAACGACCTATTTTCTCAATTAAAATTTAAACGCACATCTTTTAAATTCTCAGTTATTTGAATTATGCTTCATGAAAATCTCAAATTTGATACTTTATTCTAAACACGCTGAAGGCGTGTGATTTGTGCTTTCATCTTACAGCAATCGCGTTATCAGTCGCCGGAGAAGAACAGCGAAAATTGAGTTGTTTGCAAGAGAGTGCAGAGAGCAAGGAGAAAAGAAAGAGAGAAGGAGAGAGAGAGAGAGAGAGAACTCAGGATGATTGCACCAGCGAAGAGCCATGAAGATATCACGCTGTAATAAGATTATTTATTGCTGAATCGCAGACCCCCAGCAGCAGCAGCAGCAGCAGCAGTTTCATCACTTTCGCGTCGCGCGCTCCGACGTGACCCTGTCGTGTTACACGACGATGGAAAATATATTTTGCACTGCACGTGCTTTTTAACGAATACGCGACGCGATAACCCATCGTTTTACAGTCCGTTACGCAAAAACGCTATCGTTTTTTTTTTTGCATAAATTGGATGAATTTCGCCAGATTTCCAGTATTTCGACAACGATGGCACTGCACATCTTCGAACTTACTCTATGATATGAAGAGATCAATAACACTGAAATATAACGAAATATCGTGAAAGGATGTTTCTTTTTCCTTTCTTTTTCTCTTTACGTTAATGAATTACGCGTTCGTTCCTCTCGATTACTTTTTTACATTTACAATTTTTAATCAAACGCCGAAGTCAATGGACATGTAATTTGTGTATAACAATCGCAGAATTATTTGAAAGACACTTTTTAGAATAAATAATTTTAATTATTAAGAATGAGATACTTTTTTTATTTTAAGATAATAATAAGAATTAAATTCGAATCGTCTAAGTGCAATATGTTATTCTATAAAATAAGAGAAAGAATATTATATTAATATTTAAAAAATTGTCATATTATTTTTGATATGTGTAAAAATATCAGTATTTATGAAATAAAAATATATTAATCTTTTTGACGTGACCCATTCGAATAATATAAACTTATACAAGAATTCTATATTATTTTATACAAGAATCATTATACTTTGTTTGGTTGCTCACTTTATTGTCGCAGAAACATTCGTTCATTTGATACTGCAATTTGATTTGCAAATATCAATGAAAAAAAAATTTTGTCAAAAAAAATGAAATAATATCAATATTAATACAATTCAACGTCCATAAAAAATAAATAACGGAAAAAGAGAAAAGATTTTAATTTTCTGTATTCAGAGAATTTTGTATTTATCTTTTAACTCGAAAGAATCTGATTCGACTCTTTTAAACAGAAAGAGTATCATTAAATACGTATCAGATAGCAAACGAAACTTTACTTTTGTTTACCTTTAAAATTATAATGAAATTGAAGAATTGCATAAACGAAAAAGAAATTTATAATCGTTGAAAATTATAAATGTTTAAAAATGAATCACCATGCAATCTATTAAGCCTATTTTTAGGACAAAAAATATAATTACATAGTAAAATTACATTTCAAATTATACAATTACATCTCAAAATGAAGATTATTTTTATTATTAATTCCAGATAATATTAATTCCAGAAGTAATTCCAGAAGAAAATATATTTACGTTTGATTTAAAATATAACTTTTGGATATCAAAATAAGTATTATCAGTATTTATCAGGTACTATCAATGATTGATAAAGCATTTGATAACAAAAATGAAGGGTACCTGAACAATTTTTTAATTTTCTGATTTATATATATATAACCAAAACCATTATGTTGATTAAATACTTTCAAAATTAATAAAAATAGGAAAATATAAATAAATCTATCTAATAAAATTTTAATAATTTTTTTTTTTAATCACATTTTACATCATTTTGTAAATTATTATCTCAGGTTCAAATAAATTAAACTAGTAGCTATTAAATTGATATTCTAAATAATATTTAATAATGAAATAATGAAAAATATTATGATAGAAAATGATAAAATAAATAATAATATATAAGTTCCTTTTAATTCTTAGTTCTCATATCTTGATATATACATTAATGAATAATAAAGTTATGTCTTTTATTTCTCAATTCTTTTATATACGTGATACTCTATACAAAATTAATTGTGCATAACGCTTCGATTACTTAATTACGTCATCATCGCAAAACGCCATCATTCCACTTTTCATTTAATTTCCCTTTATCCGTGTCATTTCCGTTTCTTCCAATTCATTTCACTTTTTAATTTCAATTTATCTCATTCTACTTCAATTTCCATCTATTTCTGAATATCTGAAGCGAAAACAGCAGATAACAATATTCCGCACGATACTCCATTACATTCGAAATATCGGAATTCTAAACAGAATATTGTTGACGAAAATTTACAACTAAAGTGCGAGGCTAATAGGTCAAAAAATCACAAATAGATGTAATAATTATCTAGACGCATTCTGAAAATGCCTATTCGAGCAAGGTGAGGGCACTCGTGACGAATGCGTGCAGACCGAGTGGTTTTCGCCAGCGAGCGGACTGCCGGAAAGAGGGAGAGTCCCATCAACAATTCACTCGAGACACTTCACTCGATTCGTCCGAGAGTGGGGACTTCACTATAAGAAGATAAATGACAGTACAACGAGTCAGTTTACGGGTGGACCACCGTACACGCACCGATATCAGTCACGAGACTTCCAAGTTTCTCTCTTTTCTGCGTTCGAGAGTTACTCAGCCGCGACGTATTGCGAATTCTTTCACAAGCAAGAGGAAAGACACCGAAGAGGTAGGTCCCGCAAATTTAAATTTTAGTCTCGTCGATCATGCCGCGCCCAGAAAGCTGACATCGGACACCATTTCCGCTCCGAGAAAATCTGACACTTGTTGCTGACCCCGGGTTTCCTTCTATCATCGCCGTCGTAGACGTAATACGTTGCAACGTAGAATAAAAATTCGCGAGACATCGCGAAAAATTTTGCCAGTAATTCTTTAAACAGTGTTTTAATACAATTTTCAGGACGAATTTTTCACGTGATGATTTTAAAGCCTTATTATTTCTTGAACTTGCATTTTGCGGTCATCATCGCCAAACAATTTTTACAATAAAACTATATGAGAAGCTCTGAAAGGCAGGCATTAAAATTTCGCGACAATAATTTTATAACGTCTGACAAGCTCCAAAAACGTTTAAATTAATATCTAATACGAAAATTTCGATTAAAACGTGTTAACCGGTAGAAACAAATTTTTGATTTTTGCTAATCGTAAAATGGAAATAAGTGCGCATCTACCTACTTTGCTTATGTAACTTTCACTGATTATCTATTTTTGACGTCCTATTTTTATTGCAACAATGAATGCCGGTAATTCCTGAGCGAATAAATTAGCAATTTCGAGTTATTGTCGAATAATACTTCAGCTCGATATTACATAACAAAACCGGAACTTTTAATTGCGATTAATTATGCTCTACAATCTCCGCATGTGGTATTCTTTTCCACATTCGTATCTGGTAAAAATGCGTAAACATTTTTATTTACAAATCAAAGTATGCAAATATTATTTTTGAAGTTCAAAATAATATTGAATGTCCTACAACTGGTATAAATTAAATGCAGGATTGTTTCTTGTAAAATTTAAAAATTTTATAACTTCTATTAAACAGAATCACCGGAATACTAATCAATTTTTAATGTAAATTATAAAAAAGGATTTATTAAGTCAAGTCTTTAAGATAATTTGAGATTTTTACAGGATTTTTAAAATTTTTTATTCCTAATTTATTAAGTGTTAAAATTTAGAAAATGAAAATGTAAAAACTATATTCTTAATAATTACTTAAAAATTAATTTACTTAAAACACTTTAAATTTCCATAAAAAATTGATATTTATTTTATTGGTATAATCTACGTTTATTTTCAAATGCAGAAATGTCATTCTTTTATTACGACCATACATGTTAAAGATCAACAGAAGCATTTAGTCTTATTAATTGAAATCTGGATCGTTTACATTTTGTTGAATGCAAATTTATTCTTAAACAACATTGATGTAAAGAAGCGCAATAAAGTAAAATTATTAGAGGTGAACTTCCGCGACTAACGATAAATAAATGAATAAATTCTTAAAAGATCAGATTAAATAATCATGTGTCAGAACATTTAGAGACACGATTTTCTATTTAATACCATATATTTTCGATAATCAATTACAAATGTTTAAAGATACCATCTGATTAATTATCGAGATTCGCTCGTGAATAGCTCCAACTACGCGATATATTCAACCTAATTTTAAACAACCCGTAATTGTTTACTATTATATCGATTTAAATGTGATAAGAATCAAAGAATATTTTTGCGATGCTCGTAAATTGTTACAACTCTGTTACAAGTGCAGTATTTGCCGATCGATTACGATCATTTCCGCCAACCACCTCCTCAGTTTAAAACCTGACGTTTGCGTATAAAAACTCTAGAAAATGTAGTCATTACATAGCAATTATCTAAAAATAGCAATTTAATACTGCGATTTATACCGCGCGGAAATGTTCCATCAGAATATCGCTGCTAAATTACGCACGCAAGATCGGCGATTCCTCTCTGTTCAAATAAATAAGGCGTTCAAGGGCTCCGTTTGTTCAAGGATAACATGTCGATCAACTTCAGGAGCGTTCTCATAAGCGATCCCGTGGATGAGTCTTGTGGAGCGCTGCTCACCGAACACGGTATTCCAGTTACGACGAAATACAAGCTGCCGAAGGATGAGCTGATCAAGGAGCTACAAGTAGGTAGATTTTAATGCTAATGTTGTAAAACTGCGTGAGATAGAGAGCAATTTCCGTGCTTTACTGAGCCAAAGCGAATCGCGATGGGAATTCATCTTGCAAAGTTATAAATTCCGCTCGATATCCGACGTCGGAGACTAAAAACGGAGAGTTTCGTCTCTCGTGGAAAAAGAGAACGTAATTTAAAGTCGGAAACTTGAAAAGAAATTTACTTAAGAGACTATTTCGATCTCTCCTCCCGTTCTCTAAAAATTCCATAATGCAGTTCTATATATATAAATTCTTAAAGACACTGTTCTAAATTTTAATCGAGGCAGCATTGATCATTTTCAATTAAAGATATCGGTCTTCTCATAACTTTCTTTAAGTGTATCTCTGAGCTTATAGAACTAAGTTTAAGTCTGATTTATTTCAAGATAAAATGATAAAGCAGTAAATATTAAGCAATGGAATCAGAATACAATGAAGTATAATCGCTATAAGCATCCATTGTATTTTTCATCTCATCAAATATCGACTCATAAAGTGTACATTGTGAATAAAATCATAACAACAATGTCTACGTTGTGAATAAAATCATAACAACAGCGATTTAATCTCCAAAAGATCGCGCAATTTATTTTTCTTCGAGTGTAGGAGTTATTGGTTATTTTGAAATCAAGGTTGTTACCAATATACGATCCATCGAGTGAAAAATATCACGTGTCAGATGAGAAGGCATCATCGATAACATTAGATTACACTAGAATTCATGCGGAAGATAAACATAGTTATGATAATAGAACTTCCCGCTCGATAAATCGTGTGGGAAAAACGCAGTTTTTCCTAAGAAAATTCTAAGAGAATTTTAAGAAGGAATCCCCGATAGTAACAGAAATATTTTGCAGCAAATTTGTATGTATTTAGTTACGAAACTAAATTTCTCGATAATTTCTTCAAACTATTGCTCATTAAACCAACAGACAATGTTTTGTAAAAGTTTTTTAACGTTTTATAAATGTTTCTCAAATAAATATTTATTTGAATATTTATTTAAAAAATATTATCTGTTGGTTGAATGTCCGAATATTAAAAATTGTGATTTGACACAAATATAACGGTACTGATATTTGTATTTGGCTAACCAATTGTAAAACTACCAATGCCATAATGCGAACCATAACTTTTAACAAGTTTTTCGGAAAACAGTTTGAAAAAATCCTTAATATAATAGAGCACAGTGAGAAGCAAGAATTCTAATACATTTAACCAGAAATTTCTGATTTGTCCATCCATTTTCAATCAGAATTCCAATTAATCCAATCTGACATTTTTCTCAGTGCATAGTTCGGACAATTAGTTTCCTGACTATATACATGTATTCGAGTTAGATAAATTTTTCCTTTTCTTTATTATTAAATAACAGACATGCAAATATATATATTTAAACAATGAAAAAAAGGAGTAAATAGCCACAAGTATCAGGATCTACATAGCGAAAGTCATTTATTTAAATTTATTTCGTTAAAAAAATAAACGAAATAAATTTAAATATATATATAAATGACTTTCGCTACATAGATCCTGCGTGTGGCTATTTACTCCTTTTTGATTATTTATATCTATAAAGCCACGTTAGAATTATTAAATATATATGTATTTCTACAAAGAAGCAAATGCAAAAAAATATTTGTGTCTAAAAATCAAAATGTGTTTCATCATAGATAGATAGACTATTCGTTTTCATTCAAAGGTTAAGCCAATTCTACCAATCAAGTGCTATTTGCAAATATTTTTTTCATTTTTTTAAGCATACTCGATTCTCGATAAGCCAATTAAACTTACATAAAAGGATGGAGTTCTGTTTCTTCAACAAATTAATATGGTCATCACATGCTTCTCTGTGCAAACAAAAAATAAATAAAATTAACGAAATCGCTTTCTTTTAAACTATATGCATAAATAAAAGAATATTAATAATTATATTTAGTATCTATTATTATTTTGGTTATTTATAAGAGTAAATCCAATTACTTGGTTTTTGCAAAATCATTCTTTCCGTGTATTCGCAATCCATCTTAAGGCAGGACAGTCTCGATCTAATGCAACCGTTTTGTATAATAAGCATAGTATGCAAATGCAAGCATGTGGGACGTATCTTGATCTCTTTTTCTCTGCCCTCCGTATTTTTTCGTCTCGTTAGTTTCTTTCGATCCCCGTTTGTTTTTTCTCCTATTAATTACTCGTGTTCGAGTCGGCGATCCGGTTATATCCAGTTGACTCGGCTGGTGTGCATACCGGTTAGCTGCGACGGGTCGTTGTACCACCGGTTTGCTCTGCATGTGCTGCATACATGGGCGCACACATAGGCGCCTATACTTACAAGGAGATTAACTCTGTCCCTTCGCCATTCGTATTTCTCAATAGATCTATCAAGTATCCTCGCGTTCCTTCTACGCTCAATTTCTTCTTTCTACCTGCCGTTTCCCGTTTCATTTTACAGAAAATCCAAGTGTAACTGTAAAATAAAAAGCATCTCAAGCTGCACCTGTGTTGCGGAATACATTCAGTGTAACGTAAGCTAGAAGATAAAAAGAAATTACTCAGCTAAGATCCCATATAGCCGACAATTCGAGTCGGACTAAAATTGGAGATTTTATAAAATCTCTCTCAAAATAGGTATACATGTGGATGAGAAAAGAAAATTTGAAATAAAGAACGAATAGATTAGAACAACGGGAAAAGAAAAATTTCTAAATGCAGTTCTATTTATAACAGTCGAAGAGAGAAGATGAAAATTCTGTATGAAAAAGTGAATCAATTGGAAAGAAAATTATACATATAGAAGAGATTTATTTGTGAAGCTGTGAATTTTTAATTGTCAAAATTAGAGAATAACATTATCAAAATTTTTGCTGTCATTATCATTTCTTTTGTATTTGTTTGAATGTTTTCTCTCAAAAAACAAGAATTAAAGGAAGTTCTTCTCATTTATAAACTAATGTAAAAAATATGTCTCTCTTTGTGTCGCAAATATTAATTGGTGCAGAAAATATCTTTTAAACATGTTCAACGTATATTACATAATGTCGTTTTCATACTTTGTTTTCGTATATTGCAGTGAGAGATCGTTCGATATAAAATTATAAATGTGCACCGATTTCATGAAAATAATGTCGATAGACGCCCATGCGACCACGTGTTATCCTTATCTCCATTTTTACGTGGATAATTATTACTAAAGTCTGAGTTGATTAGGCATGGATTACAGTTCCACTTTGCGCAAGTTCAGTAACCAGTTTGCACAAGTTCCACAAATAGTAGTCTCCATAAGCAATGAGCTGAATCATATTTCCTAATCATAGAGCCACAGATATAATTCACGTCTATGCATCTCTTTTCACTTATCGCGTTTGATATAAAAATAAAAAATACAAATTCAGAACATACTTTTTAAAGAAAACCAGACAAATCCGGGACAAATTGATAAGATCTAATTTTACTTTCATGACATATTGAAAAGCATGAATAAATTTGGTCGACTTGAAACTCGTATGGGACCTTTAATATTATAGATTCTTGATATTTATATAAATGCTTTCTGTATTAAAAAATATGCAAAGCGATTTTTTATTGCTACGTGGAAGCTTGCTGCATCTTTGTCGACTTGAAATTCGTATACAATCTAATAATAGAAGTTCTTGCTACTTATATGAATATTCTTTATTAAAAAATATGCGAAATAATTTTTTATTGCAAGTGGGAATTTGCTGCATTTTTGCCATTAATATCTTTAAATGATCGTTGGTAATTTTAACTCGGATTAAATGACTTAAATAAATTCCAAAATTTGTTTTCGCGTTTGAAAAAATCACATAACAAAAGTAAATATACACACGTTTCAAAACTGCAATAATCCCGAATTTATCGCTTCTTGCTTTTCCAATATAGATTCATTAAACCAAACTACGATTTACACTAAATAAAATTTGAACTCATATTTTTCAATTTTTCTTGAACAGAAGATGAAAATGTATATTCTCTTTTTGTTCAAGAATCATGATGCTCTTATCGTCCGATCCGAGACCAAAGTTACGGCGGATATTTTTGCTGCTTGCCCAAATCTCCGCGTGGTTGGACGAGCTGGTACCGGCGTCGACAACATTGATCTTCAAGCTGCCACACGTAAAGGAGCGATCGTATTAAAGTACGTGTACGATCTCATACTTATGTCTATAAAAATTTTTTTCCGTAATGAAATTAGGTAATAGAATAGATTTCTTATTACGAGGCAATTTGATTTAACAATCTTCTCAAGAGTATATCAATCTTAAGCGTAAAACTTCCATTTGCTGAATAAAAAACGATAAAAATCGATGTGAGAAGAGCTGTGCGGTTTAAAACTCTGCCTCTTAATCGAAGCTACTTTTTTCTCGCTTGAAAGACTTTCAGAACAGTTTTCCAATAATTTATGATATAACAGGTTTGCTGGTACAGGTTTGCTCATCAAACAGTAAAATAGAATTTCTTTTATTGGATCAGTTAATTAACAAGTTAATTTACAAGAATTATTTAATTAAATGAATCTTGAATTATATTTTTATCTCTGTAATTGAGATCAAATTTAGTAGCACGAAAAATAAGAGATTAAAATAAATTAAAATTAAAATATCACAGTTCTTTCATGATGAAACTTAAAGATGACAATTACAATTAATATATCACAGTGAGAAAAATGGTCTGGTTGAATTAAATAGTAATTCTGGTGGAAAATGGACGAATCAGCATTTTCTGATTAAGTCTACAAAAATTCTAGTCTAAAGATAACTAGAATTCTGATTGTTATAATTATTCTGATAAAAATAAGAATTCTAATATATATATAGATTTTACCAGAAATATTGTATCAATCAGAATTCCGGTTATCTCAACTAAAATTCTAATAAATTTAATCAAAAAATTCTGATTCGTCCATTTTCAACCAGAAATTTTTTTCAGTGCACGTAATTTCATTCTTTTTAATAATTGCAGTACTCCAGGAGGCAATAGTATTAGCGCTTGCGAGTTAACATGTGCCCTGATTTCCGCGCTCGCGCGCAACGTCGCGCAAGCTGCACAATCGCTGAAGGAAGGTAGATGGGATAGGAAATTGTATTCTGGGTATGAACTGTCCGGCAAGACCCTCGCTATCCTCGGGACGGGCCGCATAGGTCGCGAGGTGGCTCACAGAATGCAGAGCTTCGGCATGAATATCGTTGCCTACGATCCGTTTTTGACGGACGAAATCGCCGCCCAGCTCGGCATCAGAAACCTCAGCACGGAGGAGATATGGCCCATCGCCGACTATATCACCGTACACACGCCACTCATGCCTGAAACCAGAAGTACGAATCGTTCTATCTGAATCTATTAATTTGATGCAGAAAATTGTCGAAACGAAAAAAAAAGTTACACGAAGTTGCGAATTTTTTACCCGAATAGAATCGATGGATTCAAAATACTTTTTCTACCTGAAAAGAAGTTCTTCAACTTCTTAAAATATTCAGTAACTTTATTTCGAAGAAAATTTAATCGTAAAAGAACAACGTAATGTTTTTCACGTCAATTTATTATTAGAAAAGTTATTAAAAATTATTACCAATTTTGGTAGAGAAAATATTTTTATATTATATTTACGTAAATTTTCAAATTAATAATAACTGATAAAGTAATTTTAATTCATAATAATTTTATAACTGCAATTGTAACTTAATATATATAGTAACTTTAGTTAATACTTACTTTTATACAGCTATATACTCATACATATACTTATACATACGTATAAATTATAAAGTTATTATTAATTAAAGACTGTAAAAAGTTTGTCGACTGAAATCTATACTCGTTATATAAAAATCTTAATAATTCTTTATTTTGAAAAGAATTATGTGTGTTAAAAATAATCGTGTAGAATCATACTTTATATCTATAAAATAGTATAAAAGAATGCATATATGCTTAATCGTGCATGTTTGCAGATTTGATCAATGCAACAACGTTGGCAAAATGCAAGAAAGGAGTGTGTATCGTTAATGTTGCACGTGGTGGCATTGTTGATGAAGAGGCTCTTTTGAATTCATTAAAATCCGGTCATTGTGGCGGAGCGGCTTTGGACGTATTCGTAGAGGAGCCGCCGAAGAATGCAATCACTTTAGAGCTCATTAAACATCCAAAAGTTGTTCCGACACCTCATCTCGGTATGTACATATATAATACTTTATTTAATTTACAAATGTCGCAAATATTATTAAATTAAAACGATAACTTTTTCAGTTATATTATTTCGTCGTTAATTTCATGTTCCTTTATATTTCATTAGCCTCTTTAAATATTATAGTAATATAACTTAACATGTTGTTCATTTACTATACAGCGACATGATTCGAAAATTGGGTTTTTAGTTGCATGTAGAAATGAGACAGCTAAAAGCATAATTAACTCAGACGACGCATTGTCTAGGAGACATTTTGTGATCCTTTTTAGATACCTCTTAGACGTACATGTCCCAAAAGACATCATTATGATGTATAACAATAGATGATATATGATAATTGATACTTTTATTTCTGCAGGTAAAAACAATATTTTCTTTTTCTTTTTTAAACTAATGATTGCAATCATTAGTTATTACATCAAAATTGCATTCCAAAATTAAAATACAAAATTTTAACGGTTTAAATTTGAACTTATGTTCTGGAAAACTGTTTTTTTTTAGCTGTGTCATTAATTGTAAGTACTGATTGTAGCAAATGAGCGATATTCTCTTCCATATCTTTCTTTAATTTTGAACGTCTCATTATAGAAACAATGGAATTAACGGTTTATTCGATTATAGGTGCCAGCACGGAAGAAGCCCAGCAACGAGTAGCAGTGGAAATTGCGCAACAATTCTTGGCTTTATCTGGCAAATCAACGGAATACGCCGTCACCGGTATCGTAAACGCTCCGGTCTTATCTGCCGCTATGACGGCCGAGAACGAACCATGGATCGAATTATCGAAGAAATTAGGTCAATTAGCCGGTCGCTTCCTCAAGGGCAAGCTAAATACAATAATTCACAGCCGCACTGTAGGAAAGGGCATGCAGGATAAAAAGTTCATACACACAGCTGTACTGGTCGGAATATTAACCGGCCAAACTAAGAATGGTTTAAATTTAGTTAACGCGCCCACTCTGGCGGAAGATATTGGCGTAGAATTGCAAGAAGGTCACGTCGACGGTGACCACAAAGCGGTCATCGTGAAAGTTGGAGAACATGTCATCAAAGGTAATATTATAATTTAATATCGTGAAGAAATTAGATTTTAATTCAAGGAATCTGTGAAGTTAACACTTCACTTTCAGAAGGCAATTAATAAAAATCACAATTAAGACCGAAAACAAAATTTTAAACCGTAGAAACTGAAAATATTTCCACTCGACAACTGAGACATATATTGCTAAAATTTTTTTTATTTTTGTTATTACCATTTAAAAATTTCAAATTTCTAATTAAATTTCTTGAAGAGCTATCTAGAATTCCAGTGGAATTTTTCAAAGTTCTTAGATTAAAATTTTTAACAGTTTTTTATTGCGCATTATGTTTTACATACTAATATCTATGTTATCAAGTAGAACGAAGTATGTACATATGTTCTGAATCATCTTCAATTGAACATTACATTACAGTGATGTCATTGTGTAATTACAGGAACCGTGCGTGACAATCAATCGCTTTTGCTCGCTTTGGACGACGCAGTTTTCAGTAATGGCATTGTGCTCAGGGACTACATTTGTTTATATCGGGCGAATCGAGTACAGGATCTTGCCAATATTGTGAACATTTTCTCGTCGAAAAGCATCAACATTCACAATTTGAATGCCAATGGCAGCTGGGTCATCATTCACACCGATCAGCAGGTCTCAATTCAAGTGGATGAAATTGAGAGCTTTTGAGCGTACTTGCGTGCTTCCAAGAGAGGCATACTGACAATGAATGATCCTTGAGAAGAGACGGGAATGCAAAGCCCGAATTTTGAAGAATCCAGTATTGTTCAATTGCTAAAAAAATGCGAAAAGCTCTTGTGGCGGAGCTTACTCTAGAAATACGTATCTTTTTAATTATGTAAACTCATTTATATAATACATCATTATTTATTATCTGATTATGAAAGTAGATGAATAAGAAAAGCTAGACAAATCAACATTTCTAATACATACAAGTAGTTTTCTTTTAGGATAGAAATTATATGTAGAAAAAAAGTATAGATATAATATGCTCTAGTTTCATTATAAATAGCGTATATATATATTAATCGTTAGCAAATAAGTCGTATTTTTTACATACGTATGCACATAGAAATGTAAAAAAAAGTATGTAAAATGTGTCTATAGAGGTATTTATATTTTTATATTATTAGAGACTTTGTTAATAAAACATCACATTTTATCAAATCACTGTTTCTGTGTCGTTACTGACTATACAAGGGTCTAAGCGCTTATATACAAACGAACAGTTGCTTGTATAAGAGATAAGAACTTTACTCTAATTGTAGAGAAAGTTGATCTTGAATAGCTTTACTAAGTTAGTAAAAATTCTATAAAAAATATATTCATGGAGAAAAATTGCTCATAGAGGAAAATAGCATATTCCTAGAGATGTCAGATTTTAACGTTTAGGCCCTTGCAGTCAAAATATGATCCTACAAATATACATCATTAATATTACCTTAAATGATTCGCGATCGCTTTTACCGTTATTTTTCCAATATTGATTTTACTTTGAAACAAGAACATTCAATGTTCGGAGAGACCAACGAGTTCTTTGGTGTATAATTCGATCTTCAGATGTTAATTATACAGCTTGCAACAATTGTACACAAATAGATGACGCATCAAATTAAATTGAAATGTTTATCTCATAAAAAAATAACATTGGCATGTGACATTGCATAATGAAATATCACATCTTTCAATATATATATATATATACTGTGCTCATGATAAACAAATATCGAAAGCAACAAAAATACCGAAGTTGAATGTAAAATATAAATAATCTGAATGCAAACAATTTATCAAAGTAACTTACACTTCGGATATTCTTAACTATTATGAACTTTGTTAGAGGTAAATATACAAAGTCTTAAAGTAATACAAACAGAAATAGGGGCGGAAAAAATATTTGGAATACAAATCGACTATTTATAATATACTAAATTGCGATAAAATTTGGGCGCTTAATAAATATGAAATCGGATCAGTTTAACAAAAATGTATTATATTCTCTCGTAACTGTCCGCTCGACAACAATTGAAGGTAAAGACGACGCCGTCCTGCAAAAAGGCGGAACTATGTATAATACTCTTGATCAAGTACAGCTATAATCATCTTACTAGAAGCATCGCGGCCACTTACTCTGACTAGCGAAGGAAGTTTGCACCAGAAATCATGATTAGGCACCATCTCCCAGCCTGTAGCTCCCCTCAATGCTTTCAGCACTATGATACCACCAATGAAATATACACCAACGCTGACAAAGAACAAGATAACTAAAAGGGAACCCGTAGATAATCCTATTTCTCGTTGTAATGAACATCCGTATTTCGAAATCAGCTTAAAATACTGCAAATATTATTAATAATTAATTTATTTATATATATCATCATAATAATAGGTAATATTATTGCTATTTTCATACTTACGTATGTTTTAACGTTAGTCGGATCAGAATCAAGTATAAAATTCGTTTTTTCATCCGTAAAGCATAAAATGTTTATTATCATCTTAATGTTATTATGGTGTATTTCAAAAATTGGAAATTTGCCTGTATCCGATAATTTCATTTTTGTTTCTTCTATTGTCCCAGTAATTAATACCGTTTTATTGACACTATCTTGCAGTAAACATAGCTACAAAAACATAATATTTATCTGAGAGATATCATAGAAACATCAATACATAATGCAAATAATGGAACAATGCATTTTTTAAATTGATTAAAACTGCTTTAAATCTTACTGATACATTTCCCGTAGAACAATTTACATTATTCTCTATCGTCATATTTACATTTGCGCATGGATGAAAGTAGACTATATAATTAAACTTTTTATCTGAGAATGACCTGAAAATCAATTAATATTCTATATAATGCACTGTTTTATAAATATTCGATATACTTTAAATGAATATTGAAAATATTTAGGTATACAATAAATACAAGTGTTTAAATTCTTATAGCGTTTTCCTCTGAGAAAATTAGTGCAACACAGATACACACTGAGTGCAATCGAATACAAATCAATTTATATATTTTTAGTGTTAATAAATAATTTAACTACATATTCTTTTAATTACATATTTTTTTGTTGTCACGAAAACCTCATAACGTTCAAAAGATTAAATTATTAGCACTAAAAATAAGTAAACTGATTTGTACTTAATTGTAATGTTGCACTAGTTTTTCCAGTGGAAAACGCTATTAAACAACAAAGATACAAAAATATTGAATATGTTGTACCTGTAAAAATAAAGAAGAAATTAAATAAATGCTAAAATTCTAAAATAATGACACACAAGACTAACAGGATTAAAACATTTTGCTTATTTAATCAATTACTCGAAAGTTTTTTCCATGCAAAAGGATAAATAATTCGTACTAATATTTTTTTCTCTTTTTATAGGAAATTAGATAATGGACATATCGTAAGACGCAAAAACAAAGAGAAGCCGGAGGACGAACGGAGGTTAATAGTTCATCTACCAACTTTGCGTTAGCTAAGGCGGTCAAATTGTAATAATAACCGTCCGGCAACGAGCAAGTGCAAGGTGCCTCCTGCACGCATTCTGATGACGTCGTGTCGCAGAAGAATATCAAAAATAACGAGAGCACGATAAACGTCGCATTACTACGCCACATTTTTCCCAACTTTGTTTTCGTTGACATTCGCACTCTTGACAAGTCATACGGCAATTACGATACATTCCCGAAAAGTAGATGTCGTTCGTACCATATGATATCGATGCAGATGTCGATAATTTGTAATTACCAATAGTCGGATAAGTCACTAGTCTTTTTATCGACCGTAGGTTAACGTTTTATCTTAACAAAATTATCGACGTTATCAAAGATCGAAAAAATCATTTAAAATTTAATTCTCAAGAATCAACAAAAAGAAAAAGATGACACCAATTAAATCTCCAAGAGTTGTTAAAATTTAAGTTTAAAAACTTATTCTGCAAAACTCCAAACGCTTGAAAATAAAAAAAAGAATATAAGAAAGTATATAAAAACACACATAAAAAATCCCGTGCATTACGATTTCAGAAATTTTATTCAATGTAAATTTTCTTTAGTATCTCTATACAATTATGATGAGCAACACTATGGGTCAGTATTACAGTCTATTCTTACTTTAAGATCATCTTATCTTAAGATGCCGTAGATATTACATAGCTCTGTGATTAATTTATGATATCTTAAAACTGTGTTTATATAAGACGATAAACCGACTATACTGGCTTTATACGTATATTATTGATACAATGGCTGCGTTCAGCAGACTCAACAGTTTTGCAACCGTTTTATGATTGTCTGCTGAGATAGGATCATTCTTCTAGATCTAAAAGTATGATCCAATTAGCGCGAAGGAAACTTCCAACAGTTGCAAAACAAACGTTCTGCTGAACGCAGCCAATATATGATTGTATCAACAAATATAAAAAACACTGAAACAATCTTTGATTAGTCAATTCATAAAGTGCTTTTTTCTAATTGGTGCAATAAAAATGAAAAGGAAAGGAAAAGACAATTGTTGATTGGTTTATACATTTAAATCCACTGAGAAACCAAAGCAAAGATCAATTATATTAAAGAATTTTACAACACTTGCAAAGCTGCTTTCTCTACGATCATTGGCTGCGTTCAGCAGACTCAACAGTTTTGCAACCGTTTTATGATTGTCTGCTGAGATAGGACCATTCTTCTAGATCTAAAAGTATGATCCAATTAGCGCGAAGGAAACTTCCAACAGTTGCAAAACAAACGTTCTGCTGAACGCAGCCAATGACCACATCCTGATATACGTATATA